ATCTACTGGATTCCATAACGTATCTGCTGTTGTTCCACCTGTACCATTGGCTTGTCCAGCAGCTGTTTTAATTTCACCATTTGGATAACGTTTTTGAATTCGATTATTAGAATTATCAGAAATATATAAAATTTGTGTTTTAGGCTCAAGAAATAAACCTGTAGGTAAACTTAATTGATTAAAGCCTGATCCATAACCATTACCAATAATTGTTGTTGCTGTTCTACTCCATTTAAGATTGCCTGGACCTTATATTTGAATAAAAATATTTAATCGTATCATGTATGATTTAAGAAATCTGTAGTTGTACTATCTTATTTTTCCTTTGAAAGGTTTTTCCACTTTTAATCTTACGAGAAAGGTCTAGGTAGCGATGTCTTTAAAGTGTCGAAAAAAGAAAGCACGAGTTAAAATCCAAACTTTATTAGTTCGTCTTTTCTTGTTGATCGACAGTACTCTTTATACTTTTTAAATAAATGTTCGAGATTGTTTATCATTCACTATGGTAGGTTTACATAATGAATGAATGTGCAAATTTAGTAGCTCCTGACGAGTCCACATGAATATCATTATATAATTATTCACGCATTTATATGCAATGTTTTCCTACACTTGCACTCATTTTTCATATTCGTAATTGGCTGAGTTTTGAGATGTAATACGCCTTTGAAGTTTGTTGAGCAAGAGTTTCAAAATTGTTTCGTATTGATTTCTTTAAGTTAACACATAATAGGGGTTTTAAAAAGTTATTCCTTGCGAAAATAGAGATCACTTCCATCATAAATCTAAGGATTTATACAAAATCCAAATTCTATCTCATTAGAAAACGGTACTGCTACACTTTTTTATAGAAAACCAGTCTATTAACTAATATAAAATCAACCGATTTTTCATCGATTGAAGTTTGTAGGTGAACCGAACAGATGTGACCAGTTGGAAAAATCTCATCCGGTTTCAACGCTGCTCTCAGCTTGTTCAACAACTTAGACACCTAAAATATCAAGCGATACCCTCAAAGAAGTTTAAAATATACTACTTCACAACGATATATTAACTTAATTTGCACTTACATTCGCTTGATTCTTTATAAAAATGCTGACCTACAAAAACAAACAGACAAATTAAAGAGAAACTAATTGTTATATTTAAAATGTTATCATACACTTACCATTATTTACATTAATTAACCTAAAAATACAAAAAATATATTTAATACTTCTCAAGAATATTTAATAATCGATTGGGAAAGTGCGCTTATAGAATTTGTTCGATTTCAGAATGACTAAATAGTCTCATCTATTCAATTTTGATACTTACACAAATAAGCATAATAAATATCGCAACATTATTTTATTAGCTTTGTTGCTTTATTCTTCCTTGCAGAGAAATGATGAATGTCTGTGTCTCGCACACCTTTTTAATTTTGTATCTTTCTTTATCAATGCATTATCATTTACGCATAGCATATTTCTATATCATACTATGACACGAAGAAAAATGAATGCGTGCAAAAATTCAAACAAGATACTTAGAAAAGAAAATACGTATATTTTTACGAATTACTATAAAATGAATCGAATGCCTAAAAGAAAAAAGGTAATCGCTGTCAAATATTTACATTCATTAACTTGACTATGTGTTAGAACATGCCTGAGTATTAATCCACACTTGTCATGAACATTGATGAAGTTATAAATAAGATTTGACGTAGTGGAAATATGCGGCTATAAAATATTGATCCTTCATTGAAACACTTTTCATTATGTCGAACAGACTAAGTTTATTTGTTTTCTCCATCGAAATATATTATAAATAATTTTTTTTCTTGATTATGCTTTGGGTTGTTTTCTTCCATAGAGCAATGACTCGATATTTTCATTGTTAAGACTATGATTTCGTATCAAACTTGGTATTCTTTGTTGGAGTACGCAATTTGAATACAGTTTCAAATTTGCTTGAGATTTTTCGCATGCGGGTAGTTCTGGTATTGAAATATATGTTAACTTATTCAACATTGTTCATCTATAGACGGTCTGTCTTTGAAAGTTCTTGGTATGCTCGAAAATAGTAGTTATGCAACGAATACAGGTGAACCAAAATCTAGACAATGTACGTTTTCCGACGAAATCAGCTAATTTTTTTGATATGAGGATCGCCTTTCTTTCGGATGTGGAGAAAATTCATGCGCACACCTACACCCTTAGAGTCTGTTAATGGAAAGAAAACATTGCTTCTTTATCTAGTGGCATAATCATCATTGAGGGGAATTAACCCTTTAAGTACCGGATTATTTTTATATAATAAAAATTTTTATAATTTCAAACTAACATTTATTTTGCAAAAAATATCACAAAGTACAAGAATTAAAATGTTTGTAGAGTGTGATAGTCTTTAAAACAATCCATAAGACATAATCCTACATCACATTCAATGCATTCATACGAAGTATCTCTTCTTGATCTGGCTCTTCTCATAGTATTGACACAAACGCAACATTTTCTTCTTGGATTTAGTTGAGCCTCTGTTGATTCAATGCGCAAAGGAAAATGTTATCAAATGTGATCAATTGATCAGAATCTTTACTATAGATAACACTCTTGAATGACCGTGTTAATATGAAAAATTCTGTTGATAACAATTATTCTTTCTTGAGAAATGTTGTTCAATGACTTATATTCTAATTCATTGAATCACGTAGTGGTCGATAGAAATATTAGGGAACAACCAATATTCATCACTAGGTACAGATAGTCTTAACCGTATAGATATCCTAAACGCAAATATTCATGTAATTCATATCATAAAATAATCAAAGGATCATGTTTTCTAAAGTTATTCAGACTCTAAACTATCAGGATGCGAACTCGCGTCGCCGGCACTCAAAGAGTTAAGGCTAAGTCTCACGAATGAATTATTATGCCTCCAAAGTTTACTATCGTTTTCCTATAAATGAAGATATTTCGCCTCAGCAGTGGTCAATACTGTACCTCCTGGTATGCTGCTGCCTTTATCTTTAACATAAATAGACTAGTCATATATCGATTGATTAAAAACACTTGATAAGTTCTTTTACGAAAACAATTGATAGAAAATGGCACGAATACAAGTTTGATCAGGTGGTTAAAAAAAAAACTATTTAAATTTGTTGTTCATGATTCGTTCGTTTAGGCGAACAATGAATCTACTCATGCATGTAAGCATCACAAAAATCATGAAAAAACGAAATTTTTTTAAAAATCGACTAAAAACACCCTTTTCGTAATTTTTGTGATGCTTGTAACTTTTTACGAGAAGTTCGTAGAAAACTCGACGACCCCTCATTTTGCTTAGAATTTTGTGTTCTTTAAGATGGCGTCGTTCAAAAATACCTCTGACAAAGCCTTCTAGAACCTGAAAAATACTGTGTTCGGTTTTTTAGGAGACTTGCTATAAAGTGTATTGAATAAAAAACTCCATTGGCGATTAAAATCACTATTTCGATTGGAGCTACGTGCTTAACATTATGAAAAAAATCGTTGTTTCTAAACTTTTTTTCCACCACTTTACAATGATAATTATGTTCAGGATGTAGATGTTGATCTTCTCTTAACCCAAACCACAAAACCACGTCCATATCATCGATAGAATTGATATCGGCGATTGGCTACCAGCATACTCAATCTTTTTTGTGGGGCTATTAGAAATAACTGTTGAGCTTAAAATAGTCAAATTACATAAAAAATGAATAAAAACAATCGCCTTTCATTTTGAAACTGACTATCCTATAACCAATTGTTCGACTAGAGAGACGCAATCAGTACTGGTACGGATTTTAGACCGGCTGGTCTAAAAGGGCGTGTAAGAATTAAATGATCTGTTTGAAAATCTACATGTAAAATTGTTGAACAAAATTCAATTGTTCTTAGTAAATCAATATTGAGTGTTGAATCCAATCGTTGGTAATAATGATTTATTAAGTAAAATCATTAGTAATATTCGAGCTTTTACAAGATAAAACTATACGTCATTTTCCTTGATATGAATATTCATAGTCTTCATCGTCATTTTCATATGATAAATTTCTATGTTTTTACTGTAATCAATCTGTGTTTTAGAGTACGTTTACTTTATGAGATGAAGATAAAGATATCTTCGAGAAAATTAGATATTTCCTTATTTTTATATCATGAAAATAATGTTTTATTTGTTTTTCAAACATCAAAGAAAAGAATAATTTTTAAAAAAAACATGAAAATTTATTATTACAAAAAATATACAACAGATATGGAATCGGATTCTTCTTCATTTTAATCATATCTGCACACTGATTGGTGTGATTTACACACACACACACAACACAACGTCGCGAGTGAGGGTGCTGTGATTAAAGTGAAGAAGTATCCGAGATCAAAAAGACTGAATGCTCATTGCCTTGATGTATAATGAGAGTAAATATCTATGGATAACAGCGACATCTATTGACTTAAACACGATTTGTCGTTTATATAGGTATACTTTTGGTCAGTTTTTCCTCGTTCTGTCGAATTATCTATTCACTTTTTTTTGTTTTTGTTACTTTTATCGTTATCAATTTGTTACAATTGAAGTTTATATGCAGTTCTATTAATTGAATGTATTATCATTCTTTTTTTTTTTTTTGGCATTTCATTATCAAATCAATAAATTTAAATTCAATAATGATATCAAATAAATACATATTTATCATTTATAAAAATTTTTAAATAAAATTAAAAATTATTTATTTAAGATAAGAAATAAGTAGGATGATGAATATTAACATTATGAAAATTTTTATTTATTTTTCTTGTTGATTTAGATAAACATGCCAAAAACATTTGTCTTTAAATAATTCATTTGTAAAACTATTCAAATCATCATTTGATTTATAACAAAAGGAATACAATCAAAACAAACTTGGATTAATCATTGATCTATTGAATATAATAGTCCATATGTCAAAGGTTGTTTTTTTTTTTGGTTTGAAATTAATTGCTCGACTCATGGATTTTATATACAGTAATGTTTATGATGTACGTAGCTTTTTAAAAACAATACAATGAATTAGAAAGACGTCAGAAGAGAATCTGTCTTACATACATATTGACTCCTATTAATATGTATTCTCTATGATTATAAATATATATTTTTTTTTTCAGAAAACTTTAATTCGTAAATATGAGTTAGTGTCAACACTTGATTAATTCTGTATTCTCGGAGTTCATGAGAATGATGTCTACTTGAAATCTATTCCTTTTTATTTAGTTGACATGTGAAGAAATTAAAACAAAATTTTGTATTATGATCAACAAGTGCATTTGATGTATTTTGTTTATTAATTTGAGCTATATATATTATCATTTAGTAAGATTTAATTTAATCATGAATTATTGTTTTACTTATATTTTATTTTAAGATATACAAAATATTTTTTTTTATCAACAATCTATTTTCAAATATCAATATTCGACATATCGGAACTCATAACTTTCGATTCTTTTTTGTAAATTTCTTTTTATACTTTATTCTTAGATAAATTTAAAACAAATTTTTATATTAAAAAAAAAAAACAAAAACTTGAAATGAAATTTCTTATTTTAGTTAAATTATTTTCTAAGTGATGCGTCCAATGGATCATCACGATAATTCACAAAATAGTACTAATAATATTATAAAACGAGACAATAGCAATCATTCAAGTCCAATACCATCATCACCACCACCAAATAATATACGTGTCAATAGTATTTTACGAGTGATAACAATATTTGATGATATTCGTACTGGTAAAGTCGTGGCATATGATCCTCCATCTAATTTGGTTACATTACGTAAGTTAGAAAATAAAGAAAGTTTTACATAGAAAGAGACAGATTTCAAGTACGCAGACGATTTGACATTGGGACGTACATGATGTATATAGCACCGAATCAAGAGCGATTTAGCACTTAGAACTGTTTCCTTATTAGCTCAGTCGATGAGGCGAATCATTTTGGAAAAAAAAAACTCGAATCGGCTGCTAATTTCTCTTAAATTTTTGTTCAGAATTCCTATGAATATTTAGTAAAACTTTTATTGATTTTTTTCAATCAGAGATTCTAAGTAATTTTTTGTGTATCCCAGTTAAATGATGGAACCGAAAAGATTTTTTAATTGACACTATATATGAAAGAAAGTGGCGCTTTTCCAATCAGACCTTAGACATTTTTAGTCTAAGCAAAAAAATCAATACTTTAGAGGAGAGTCATTTATGGAATACTTTGGAGGTTTTTATTGTCGGAAGTTGATTTTTTTTATAAAATAAGTATGATATTCGGAATCAGCATGAAAAAATACACTAGAAACTCTATTTTTCATGAAAACTTGACCAAAGGACAAAATTCAAGGAATAAAAGGTTGAGAAGGAGTACGAGTCAAATTTTCATGAAAAATATTTTACAATGAAAAATAGAGTTTCTAGTACATTTTTTTGTGCTGATGTCGAATATCATACTCATTTTATATAAAAATCAACTTTCGACAATAAAAATCTCTAAATATTTCATAAATGGCTCTTCTCTAAAGCATTGATTTTTTTTGCTAAGACTAAAAATATCCAGGGTCGGATCCGATGATTTTGTATTCTCACGCTGTTCACAATCAGAAAATAGTTGAATGAAAAAAAAAAATTTGCGCGGGGTATAAGCATCAATTCCTTTTTACTCAAACATAGATAGTCTCATTTGAGCTATTTAAAAAGTCTTCGTTATAATTAGCATTTCGGTTAGTACCAATCAGTATGTTATACATTCGTATATCATTTCACATCATTCTTATCTTTATGTACGGCTAATATCGAAGGTCATTTGACTAAGACTACCAATAATACCTAAATTTTCAATTCGAATCCATGGGAACGCTGCCGTCGTGACGGCAGTGACAGATTTTTTTCAAAAACTATTGCAACGCGGGAGAGATGTTTATCATGCCGTTGCTACTGTACTGATCGATTATCAACAGCAGTTCTAGTTCAAACTAGTCACGGCCTTGAAAATCGAAACAATTTTTTAAATATCATCATGGAAGATTCTTAGCTGCGATGAATATCTATGATTACAGTAACATATATCAAGGAAAGGTGAATAGGAAAAGGTCCAGTCGATTTCCAACTTCATCAGTTGTTTTTTTCTACTGAACGAAGAAAAAAACCGCTTTGCATAGATTTAATCATCCACCGAACCCGAACATTCCGGCTCGAGTCTTTCTAGATCCAGACCCGTCCGAATCCAAAGTTTTATGTTTTTTTTGTCGGGTCCGGTTATACGTTTTTATGCACCCGCTGTTCTCCAGATGAGAAATTCAGCAACAAGCTATAACTGTACGTTGATTTTTTGTCTGAGAATAGTGAATAAATAGTTGAAATCTTGATTCTTCACTTGTGCATGTACACGAAGGGTTTCGGTCTTGAACGCATTCATTTTCAGTTAATTAATAAAACTAGGAAGTAAAAATAAACTAAAAAAGACACTTTCACAGCTGACTATGATGAGTCTACAGATAATGAGTACATTATTCAAAACCGAACCTAAGGATACTTCCATAATCATCTGTATACTTCAAGGAGTGTTTGAACAACTATCTAAATACTCAATGCAATTCGAACTGGAGTTTGAATCCGCTAAATATCTACATAGTTTTATTTTTTTTTACACCTGAAGAAATATTCTCTAGTTGGAATAAATAATATATATATTTGTTTTGAATTCTTAGATATAAAAGGTACAAAACCAGGTTCAACATCTGTAGCTGTTATTAATCTCAACCATTGTCGTGAATATATTGTTGAACAAGAACCTAAAGATGATATACTTGAACCACTTTATCCTATTGATATTAGTAAAGTAAATATTAAAAAAAAAAAAAAAAGAAAAAACGCAAAAAAAAAATTTCATTGATTAAATAGTTAAAAAAACGTCAAATGGAAAATGAAGCTGAAAAGAAAAAAGAAGCATCTTTTATTAATGTAAAAGCAAGTCGAATTGGTCAAGCACTTTTTCGAGATATAAAAAAAACGTAAATTTCCAAAAAAATAATTTTTTTCTATTAATTTTTTTGTATTCTTATAGAATGAATCAAGTAATTCGTTGGTCAAATAATGATATTCTTATTAATAATGCAGTACGAATTGTTGAACCATATCGTGTAGAAAATGTTTCAATTGATTCTCAAATACAATCAAATACTACAACTAGTATTAAAGCATCAGCAAAAGGTGATAATGATACTAAAACACATATTATTAAATTGGTAAATTAAATTATTAAATGAAAAAAAAACAAAATTTGATTGTTTCTTTTTTAATGTTAAGGTAGAAAAATTTTGGTCTGATCAATCAAAATTAACTTCCAATATTGATTCAACACGAACAACTAAATCTGACAGTTCAAGTAAAACAACAACAACAACTGATTCAACATCAACAGCGTCATCAGTACCTTGACATCTTTGTTTATTTTTTTGTCTTTTGGCTATGATCTCAGATGTTCGTGTATATGTGTAATTGTCATTCTTTTTTTTTTTTGTTCCTTGTTAATTTCCAACTGATCAAGAATTAGTCGTAAAATTTAAACAAAAAAACAAATCAAATTTTTTTTTTTCTTCTTCTCATTCTTTATATTATCCGCATCTTTTATTATACCCTTTTTTTTTTTGATCATTGGTTAAAACATCAATACATATATATATATATATTTCATTATTTTTTGCCTACATGTCCGCGCGTTTATTCATTTGTTGTGCAGAATAAAAAAGAAATAAAAATGTCTGCTGCAGTCATTCATCTGACAACAAAAGAGAGAATCATAATGTTATCAATATAAGATAAACACATTTTAAGCGAACCCATGAAGTATAGATAGTATGTATGATGCAATAAACAATACATGTATTGAACTTAAAACTCCATCTGTGCATCTATATGCAATATTTATTATCGATGATATATAAATTCTCAGAGAGAAATTAACGTAGAAATCGTACATATATGTCTATAAAAAGTAATTTTTTTTTTTTCGAGTGATGTAAAAAATATTCACAGACGTCTGTTTAGTAGACATTCATAAAAGTAGTAAAAGGATGACATTGATCTTGATAATATGATATAATAAGAAGGCATATCGAGTTTTTTTTTTGCTCTATATCACTGACATACTGATTCGATCAGGTTTATTATACAAAATTATACTTCTAATCAAATGCATTCAAGATCAATCGTAATCGGAAGAGACAGGTAAATGACGGAATAAGAACGTAAAAAAAATCAGTATTTTTTTATTCCTTTTTACTTTTCTATAACATTCAAATAACAGAATGATGATCATCAATCATATACAATCGGTAATAACTTGATTTCAAATTATAATTTATTACAAAAACTATTTTTATTCTTGTGGGATTTCATAAAATATCTCTAATTGATTTTGATAATTAATATTTTATCATAATAGAAATAAAAATGGTTGAAATAAGAAATTGTTCAAATATTGCTATTAATCAAATATCAACATCTAATGTTAATTTAATTAAAAATAATAATACAGATAAAGATCATTTACATAATGAATTATTATTAAATGTTTCAAATTATTCATTTATTCCAAAACAAACATTAATAATGGTGAGAATATATATTAAATTTTATGAATCTATTCTTATCTATTTGAAATGTAGGCGGAAAAACAAAAGAAGTAATAGCTAATATTATTCTATTTATGAAGAGAAATATTATCTTTTGTTTGGACTAAATTAAGATGTCATATAAGACAGGATGTAAAAAAAAAAAGAAACAATCCATCATTTCTATTCATAATAAGATAAGAATAGAACAAAGAATAACATCAAACATATCATTTAGACAAATAGAGACAAAAACAATAGAATTTACTCTTATCTAAGTAGTAGTTCAATTTTTTTTGTCAATTTAATTTAGTTGAGAATTTATTTTTATATTCAGAATTAAATAGCGCTTTTCCTTATTTAATCTTAATGTTTTTTACACATTGTGTGATATGAATACATATATCATTATCTGTGTATCGATCCTTATCGTTTTCTGATATATGTACCCACACTAAATGATATATTCTACGCATTGATTTGTTCAGTAAGCTATGAAAATATATGGACAGTATAAGAAGAGAATGAGCACATATCAAGATCATTAACTACAATTGATATCTTAGAAGATAAATGATCATCATTATTAACAATTTCCAATGGAAAAATTCTTGGTAAGATTGATTTATTCTTTCTCTGAGGCATTTTGTCATAAACAGCAATAAGAAGAAATCACAAATGGTATTTTTTTTTTTTATTGATCTAAATATAAGATAATAGATTGTTTTAATTTCATAATTATTTTCATTCTTTTTTTTAGAATTCTGATCGTCTCACAGATAAAATATATCGATTAGAAAATAAACGAACTTCTTTAAGTTCACAAATACAATTTTTAATTCAACAATTAAAACATGAACATGATACCATTAATAAATCTAAACACTTACGACAACAACAAAATCAAACAAACCTAGTCAATCGAAATCCAATAATGAATCCTTCGACTGATAATCATCGTCGGGTAGGTTTTATAAATATATTTAATTAAATGATTCAATCAGTCTTTATATATGATTTACATAAAAAAAGACATATCTTACTTTGCATATACTCTCGTACACATAAATACATGTTCGAGATTACATTCATAAAGAATCAAAAGTCGTTAATGTCGACCATATAATAGTTATAGACATAGGAAGGTGTCAGAAAGAAAAAAAAAGTGAAAAACGAAAATAATATTCAAGCAAAGTGAAAAGAAAAAAAAAGAACGAAAGAAGAAATGAAAAGAGAACAAAGTTAGTTTATATACTTTCATATTTTTATCATAACCAATATTTAATTCGTTAGAATAATTCGTTTCTTTTCTTACAAGCAAAAAAAAAAAAGAAATAACGTAATCAAAACATTTTGACTGTATGACTATTCTTAAAATAAAAAATCACAAATCTCAATTTTTATGCATAGATTAGAATACAAATGTACTAATGTCATCAAAGGTTAGTTTAAATATTTTTAAACTAAGAAAATCATAGAAGATAATACATGTTTTGTATAAGTAATCAAATATTGATATAATATAATTTTAGGAACAACAACAACAACAAGAAACAATACTTAATTCATTTGATTTTTTCAATGAAATAAATCATTTTAAAATTCGTCTTGATACATTAGAAAAAGAACGTTATGAACTTGAAGAAAAAGTTCGACTACTTCAAGTTTGTTTGTTTTTTTTTTCTTTTCTTCAATTATAGAAAATTAAATCATTTTTTGTTTTTTCAAGGTAGAAAATACAACTTATAAAAATCGTTTTATTCATGAAAATAATGAATGGATAGAATCTCGACCAACATCAATACACAGTGGACATACAAATCTATCATCATTTGCTGGTAATAAATATTTTATGATGTAATAGTTCTTTTGTATACATGGGAGGCGTGCCAACGAGTTCGCTTCTATTTGATCAATATATTTAAAGCAAGGTTAAAGGTTCCCTATGAGAATAAATCGAACAACGGAAGATACATAATAATGATGTTCTACTCGTTCTATTGCTTTTTTTCTTTCTCTACTCTGATATCTTCTTTTTCTTTCTTTCGCATCTATATTGCTTCTTATAATGTCTATATACAAGATCGTACATTTCATCAAACAATTATCTGTTACTTGATCGATTGTCTGACTAGAAAATATTATCTAGAAATTTAATGTCGTCTTATATTGATGTTGAACAATGTCTCTTTGTCTATCCATATATTACTACTACTGCACTTCTTTCAAAATATTCATCACAACATTCTAATCGTCGTGGTAAGTCCCAAAAAAAAAACGACACTACATTTTTTCACATAATGATATAGTACACGTACCTGCCAAAAGTTCTGATTCCTCTACCTTGAACCCGCAGTCTTTTTTTATAAGAATTAAACAGTTAAAATTTGGATATGAATATACTCGACGATGAGTACTGATCAACGATATCAATCGAGTCAGAATAATAGGTACTAGTCATGTTTCTTCTAGATCTGATTGATGAAGAATAGAGCGAACATTTGATTCAGTCATCATATAATTATGTAGTTCTTTATTCTAGCTATTTACCGTATAGTTGTACAAAAAAATCATTGTAAAACTCGTAAACTCATTAAAAGTTTAATAGATCTATTTGCAATTTTTAAAAAATATTTCCGAAGTAAATATTATACATGAAAGAAATGACATACTAATGACCATTGGGTTATTATCAAGACTCTAGAGAGAGTTCAATTGCTCAAATAGAAAAATGATGTAATATAATAATATTATATGAGAAAAAAAAAAAATTTTCTTTTCCAACGCTTCATAACTCTTCAAGAATATTTTGAAGTTGTGAACGATTACTTTATGGCAAGTTATGTGTTACACAAGTCATATATCTATATTCTTTTTTTTTTTCTTTGATGGATATATATGTCAGACAGCAATGCTATTAATTTGACAATGATACATTTGGACATATTGATGATGGTCGTTATTACAAATGTCATTAATTTCTAGGACGAATATATCTTTTTCTAAACGTAGACAGCTGAATTTTTATGTTCTATACATATTGAGAATCAGTCGAATAGATTTTACCAGTGACATATTGTCATAGAGCATTGCTGAACACATAAAACAAAAAAAAAAAAAGGATACCTATAAAATTTTTCATTGTATTTTATCAAACATCAATACTTTAGTATGAAAAGGAAACCTAACATATGATAAAATGCATAAATTCATTTACTTCAGAATTGAACGTCATGAAGCCTTGATAATAACCTTAGATGAATCTATTAAACTTTCATTGAGTCATGAATTAGAATTTTTCAACGACTCATTCAACTTCAATGCAATTTATACTGTAGACAAGAATGTTCCAAGAGAGCCACTCTTGACTGTAGATAGCTGAAATAAAATATTACACAATGACGAGTTGGTTGAGACTCATAATCTTTCCTTTCTCGAATTATATAAGTTTCATAAAATTTTAATACGAGTGACACCAGTGATCAGTACTTATTGTAGAGCATATTTACATAAAATTTCAATTGTCTAACTGTAGTTCAAGGTGGAAGAGCCGGATGCGCGGATTCGATAGACTCTAGTCATCGAATATAAAAAAAAATCGAAAAAGTATTTCGTATCTTCAGAGCAGCTTTTCGATTAGAAAATTTCACTGAGAGTATCAATGTATAGTCCGAAAAGGTCTAGTCAACCGAATCCGGGTACGAAAATTTTGCACCCGATGGGCTCTAGTAGACACTGTTGATTAGCACTGCATATAGGCTATTGGGTTTCAAATAAGCAAAGTTGTTTTTTTGTATTCATCAGCTATTAACTCTATTATCTTGTCATCGTTGATAGATAGTTAGTTGTTATCTATTTTTCATAGAAAATGATATCGAACGTTTGAAACGACGTATTGAAACTCTTGTGAAATCAAATGATGAAAAAGTATTTATTATTAATTATTGTAATTATAGATAGAATGACATATATTCTTACTAATCTAGGAAAGAAAAATAGACGATTTGCAAACTCAATTAACTAAATATCATACGGTTACAATAACACAGATACCATCAATTAACACAAACAAAGTTGATAATTCTAGTATTATATTCAATTTCTTGATTATTCAAAAAATTATTTTTCATATGTTTAGTAAATAATTCTAATATTCATAAATGTTCGTACGAAGCAGACGGTGAGATATCAGATTCAAATTCATTACCATCTCTTAATAGTGATAAGGATTCCAAAGTAAATATTAATAAAAAAACGAAGAAATCTTCTTCAATTTTTTTTATTCAATTAGTTATCTCAGAAACCTCTATTATCAACATATAATGATCATGATTCATTTACAAATTCATATCAAAATCCATTAAGTAAATTAAAACTTGATGTATTATATCGTGTAAGTAGATGAAAAAGATTTTAGTTCAATATGAAAAATTTATCTATTTATCAGGCTGCAAGTGCTGAACCAATGTTGATTCGAGAATTTACAAATGTATGTTGATAAATTTTCATAATATATTTTTTGTTTTTTTTTTCTCTTCTATTTAGACTCCTATTCATGATACATCAAATAAAAAACGAACGCGTCCATCAAATGATCGAATGAATTATAAATGTAAAAAATAATAAAAAAAAAAGACATGAAACAAAATATTTTATTTGTTAATTTTTAGATGATCGAAGTGGTTATGTATCCGATGGACCAAGTCGAAAATATTCTGCATATAAAAGATCTTCATCAACTAATTTAGATAAAAATAAATCATCAAGTATTAAAGGTTTAAAAAATATATTTGGAAGAATTATTCGAACAAATTCAGGACATTTTAAAGAAGATGATGAACAAAAATCACAATGTTCATTTCAACGTCAAGATTTAAGAACTACAATTAATTATGAACAAAATTCATCAAAATCACTTAGGTAAAAGAAAAACACATAATATCTTTCGAAACAATAGCCGGAATTTATTGTCAACTTGCAAGATTGTTCCTTAGAACTGTCGATTTTACTATAAGGAGGTGTGGGTATATTGATGATATTTTAATAACACTTAGTGATCCTTTAAAAATTTTTATATACGAATAATTAGTACCGCATTCCTGATGAATTGATATGAATAACTCCTTTATAAATGGAAGAAAATTGTTTGGCCTTCAGATACTTAGAGAGGATAGGATTGTTGGAAGAGATCTGGTTTATACATGAAACTCTATAAGTATCTTATATTCATCTCAAAAATAATTTTTTCTATATGTTTCTACTCTTCTTCACTGATTCGGAGACCAAAAAACTAATGTTTTCCATTTGTAAAGAAATTACTTATATCCGTCCATCAGGAATGTTGTAATGATTATTGTTAAAATATCATCAATAAATATCATATAGTCAAGAAATAACCTACACACTGACAACAGGGGACCCTTTTTAAAGCAATCATAAAAACTATTGATTACCGAAAAATTGAAGAGTACCTATAACTGTATCGAATTAAATTTGCATGAGTTTATCTTAGAGAGCATAGCATTTATGAATACCATATATTATATTTCTCAAGGATTATAACCAGTATATGGACCTTCAAGACATCAAAAACTTGATTTCTTATATACCATCCAATGAGCTACATGTCGTTCTACAAAAGTACACATGACATCCTAGTTTAAGATAGGTTGCTAAATCTAGCAAAATCTTTTCAAGATTTTTGAATAGTTTATTTATATATTGACTAACAAAAAAAAATCCTAGTTTTTATTATATATAAAGAGATAAAAGCTATTGAAGGATCTCCATTTTTTTGGCATTAAATCTTATGAAGAGATGAATATGTCAAGGAGAATGTTTATGTAAACAATGTACGGTTTAGATTATCACAATATATACAAATGTGAACAATTAATAGTTAACGCTAGAAGCATCAAAGAACTCTAACAAAAGAAAATAGAAACATATACTACATTATAAAGATTAAATACAAATTTTTCTCAAAAGTGATTTCTCATTCGTTATGATAATCACTTTCTATTACTCATAGGTTTTTCTTGTTTCGAATTCAGTTCATAAAACTTAATTGTTGTTAGATCTGAATGAAATCTTTGATTTTCTATTCGAATTATATAATCACTCGACTGCAAACAGACGAGATTTACAGACAACAAAATTGTATTCGAGTCGCCAATGCATCGTAACGGACAGATGACTGTCCTATCATAAGCTTGAGTTTACTTGACATTCCTTGCATGCAAACAACGAACCGAAATGCTGTTGTCTAAAACGAATTCTTCAATTGTTGTTTTCGAAGTCATTGTGAAACACGTTTCCAGTGATTAGTCCTGAAATGCTTTATCAAAGCCCATCGGACACTAAGCGGAAGTAAAAGATTGGATTTTGTCGGACATTTTTAATGTCGAGATTTGAATTTACTAAGATATTTTCTTACTCACTAGAGATGTGCAGTGTTGGTGGCAATACTAGAGCCCATTAGGTCTAAGAATTTTTGAATCCAGACTCGATGGGCTCTAGTTCCAATGCTTCAGTGAATACCGATACCAGTTTGTTAGTGTGCACTGATTACACTGACAAGGGAATCTCTCCGGATGCTAAAATCCTTTTGAGCTCAAATTTTGTCCATAAGTAGAGGATGTATAGACTAGAAAAATCCTAAGAGGATATTGGTTCAAGTTGCGATTTTGGCTGAGATATCGATGTTTTACTACAATATTTCTATAGGACTCAACTTATCCGGCAAAATCAAAGTTTCGAGTTTTGATCTGAAACTTTACATACATTGAAGTCTCAATCAGACTAATTTGCCTACAACTTTTCAGAATTTCTGGATAAATTATCTCTGGGATGCCTCGGCTAGTCTGATTGAGAACTCGATGCGTATAAAGTTTTAGACTAAAACTTAAAACTATGATTTTACTGGATAAGTCGAGTCATATAGGAAGATTGTAGTAAAAAGTTTATATCTCAGGCAAAATCGCAACTTGAACCCATATCTTCTTAGGGTTTTTCTATTCTATACATTCTCTACCTATGGGCAAAATTTGAGCTCAAAAGAATTTTAGCATCTGAAGCGGTTTCCTCGTGAGTCAGTAAAATGAAACTGCACATCCCAACTAATCACTGGTACAAATATCTAAATCCTAATGTCCGTTTCAAAAGAGAAGACAGGTTGCTATTTTTTAAAAAAACTTTTGTTGAGTACAAGATATAGACCTGCGATTTTCATTGTTCGAAAGAGCGATGTCCGGGTCATTGATCTATATAAAATTCATTAGGGTGAAAGGTGCTTTTGGATCAACACTTTTTTCTTTACATATTTTCATTGATTATTTTCATAATCTCTATAAAATTATCACATTTTTTTTTTGTAAATTCACTTGGAATAAGAGATTGAGAGATAATGAAATATGTGATAATTTTATACAGATCGATGGTCCGGACATCGCTCTTTCGAACGATGAAAACCGCAGGTCTATATTCTGTATTCAGCAAAAGTTTTAAAGAAAATAGCAACCTGGCTTCTCTTTTGAAATGGACATTAGTAAATCCTATGTCGAATTGCCATTCATATAAAATATACACTGTGGATGAGCAGGATTATTTTTTTGCTTAAAGTTTAAATTAATTTTACATTAATAAACGATATAATTTAGTCCAATCGAAGCAAAGTTTGTCCGTTGGCAACCAGAACAAATTGTTAATTGGTTATATGGTATTGGTCTTGGTCAATATGCAAGTGAATGTCGAAAATATTTTAAAAATGGTTTACAATTATTACATGCAACGCCACAAGAATTAGAAAAAGTATTTCAAAACAAAAAATTTCATTTTTATTAAAATGTTTTTTTTTTGTTTTATTTAATTATAGAAAATGGGTATGCGTAATCCATTACATCGAAAAAAACTTCAATTATATTTAAATGGTCTATGTACAGGACAAACAGAAATTAATTATCTTGATACACATTGGGTTCTAAGTATATTAATAGAATTGAAAACAAAAGAAAAAAAAATCTTTTTTTTATTAAGAATGGCTTGATGATATTGGTTTACCACAATATAAAGAATATTTTGCTGAATCAAAAGTTGATGGTCAAGTACTTAACAATTTAACTCTTGTAAGACAAAAAGGAATTAATAATAAATTATTTTTGTTTTTGTTTATCTTTGAAAGGAAGATCTTATTAATTTAAATATAACAAATGAACTTCATCATTTAAGTATAAAACGTTCAATACAAATATTACGTTATAATAATTTTAATCCAATCTATATAAGACGACGTCCAACTTCCGATGATAAAAATGATATAGATGAAATAATGTATTGGTCTAATCATCGTATTATGGAATGGTTAAGATCAATTGATCTATCGGAATATGCACCAAATTTACGTGGATCTGGTGTTTGTGGTGCTCTCATTGTAAGAATACTTATTAAATTTTCTTTTCAATTAAGTTTATCCACATGATTGTTTTTATTCTTGTACTGAATTTTATCATGTAGTTATTTTTAAATCAAACGATAATTGCAAAGCAATTTTCATTTGTACAGTGGAAATAATTTCATTGTGTTTGTGAATTGAAGAGAAAAAGCTGACATGAAGTGCTACTGTCGTTTCCTTAGTTTTGAATACAATTCAGATTTTACAAAAAAAAAAAAAGAAAAATTAATTATGATTTCAGAATCGAAATTAAAAGAACATTGATCGTGTTTCTATCTAATTGAATATGGAACAAGGTAAATATTAGCGATTAAACGAATCAAATCTATATACAAACAATTTACCGCATACGAGATTATATCTTGATCTTGACATTTTTGCAGAATACATATGATTATTCAAAAAGTCAGAAAATCTCCACTGCTGGTCACTTAAGACTATAAAATAATGGAAATCCAGTAATAGTCATGAACAAGATGGTTCAAAAGTAAAGGAACATTGAAAATTCTTCTTTGTACATGGTCAGTTAGGCTTCATATTTAATAGGTGATATTAGTCAAGAATATAGCATATAATCAATAAGAAATGTAATTAAATTGAATTGATTTCATAGATTGCGCTAATGAGGAAACATTCTCAAATGTCCCGCTTCGATTTCATTTGTTTATATATCATTCGATAGAGAACCTCGAGTAGATAAAAAGCCTAAAAGGGTTCCGGTCGACCTGCTTTTTTGTTTGGGAGTTACGACCAGTTTTCTGATTTTTCCAGTGAAAACTAGCATAAAAAAGGAAAATGCATAACTTCATCAAGGAAATTCATAGAGAACCAAAATTTGTTTTGATTGTAGTCTTAAGAATCCTCTATATACTCTAGAAGTTTAACAATTCTATCACTCTCTTTTCTCGAGTTATGGGATATTTCTATAAATAAGGATGTGAGTGTAGGCGTCAGTGCCCCCTTTACCCACACCCACAAATTACTGCATCCAAAGACTTAGTATATACTATATCTTTTACTAGTATCATCTAGTAAATATGAGACTTAACTGTTCATATACAAAGAAGAAATTCCAGTATTCACCTACTTTTGCATCATCCTGTATATGATTTATAAGAATAGTAGCGTAACTAGAAAAAAGTTGTGCCGGGAGGCTTAGTTCCCTGAGTATATTTGTAAAAGGCGCGAAGATCCTCTGATAACGCTTCTAAAAGAAACTCAAGTTCCTTTTTAAGCGAAACCAGACTGTTTCTAGGGAAGAGAGGGTTGAGCTTTAAAGTTTGTCGGGCTGATCCCGGATCCAAACACGATCGATTCTAAATCTTGAATCCAACGGGCTCTATTGATCCTTCTCTGCCTCTCGACTAGTTACACCACTATATAAGTAATCAATACATCTCAGATTTATGGATTTTCGTAGCGAAAGTAGTTAGCTAACTATTTTTTTCGATGATCATGAACAGTGATGGCTGTTCGCGTGGGCATTGGTTATGCTTTTGACTGGTCCTGAATGATTGCATATTCGACAAAATGTCAAGATAAGCATTTGATCCCATATGAAGTAACTATTTGGATACAGATTTGATTCTTTTTTTGGGTGATTTTTAATAGCACGAAGCCAGTATTTCAGCTCAGAGAGGGTTACTTTAACATAATTTTCAAAATTTCTTGTAGTGAACCGACTTCGTGACTTATCATCGTTTACATTAAAAGTGTAGATAGTGAAAATAAAATGTTGATTGTTTTTAAGTCTTAAATGAAATTTTGAATATTTTTATGATGTAAAAAAAAAAACAAAAACATTATTGAATTTTAGGTTCTTGAAATACGTTTTAATGTTTCAACTCTAGCAGAAATTTTATCAATTCCAACATCAAGAACTTTATTAAGACGACATTTATCAATGCGTTTTCAAGAATTAATTGGTAATGATTTACAAAATCGTAAAAATCAATATGAAAAATCTCCTAATTGTCAACCATTAACATTACATACAAAAATAAAAGTAAAAAATAAAAACTAAAATAATTTATTCAATAATCAATATATAATTCTTATTAATAATTTAATATTTAGTTTTCACGTGGATTATTTTCTCATCGACGAACACGTTCAATTGATGTTGATGATCTTGTTTGTCCAATGAATGACAATAATATAATTAATGGAATATCACCATGTCTTAAAGTATATCGAATAGAATTTATTACTTTTTGTTTTTTTGTGTATTAATCGATTTATTTAAATTATAAATTTAGCGATATCAACGAAAAGAATCATCAATGGTTGATGATTTCGAAGATGAAGTGGGTCTTCAGTTTTTGTTCATTTTTTTTTGTTATGTTGCTCGTTTAAAAGAATATGAAAAATTATTTGCATGAGAATAACTAATTTTAAATATTTATCTATTTAAAAAAGCAAAATATTTATCATATGTTTTTTTTTTCTATTTTTTAGCTTGTCCTTACACATGATAGTCCAACAACAGTTGTTTAAATAATATTAAAACAATAAGAATTATTAAATGTGACTTGTGTAAAGTCATTCATGTTTTATATGCAACCATTGACGATTGAACGTTTAGTTTTTTTTTTTTATTCTTTATTTGACTCTATTTACATTAAAGAATGTTCTTTGTAAAATAATTAATATTAAAGAAAGTATCTGTTTTTTGTATTTCCTTCGACATATATGTTTTAAATAGCTTTCTAAAAAATAGGAAAGATAATACAACATCAGTATACTTTAAAGATGGAACCGATACCAGGTAACTCGAGTCATTGATGGTTTTCTTCAGAAAGAAAATACTTAGGGCATACCAAAAGTTCTGGCCACGGCATTTAAAGGATCTTTTTGGATAATGGGATCTATTGAGAAATGAAAAAGCAAATATACCGTGTTGTAGAACTTTTTAGGAAGCGTCGAATAGTATATAGAAAATTTTGTTTTCATAGGACTTTAAAGGAACTAGAGTCAATTTACTGATAGATGACTACACACCTACATTGACAAGATGATCGGATATGCTAAATATAAGAGGCTGCAGTCCGTCGAAAACTTTGCAAAATCGTAGATGAGAAAAAATATTTTACAAATGCTTTCGATTAATACCAAGGACCACAATATTAAGAAATTTATCATGCTTGGATGTTGATGTGTAGTCGTCTATTAATTAAATTGACTCTACTTCCTCTAAAGTCTTATGAAAACAGGATTTACTATATATCATTTGACACGCCTCAAAAAGTTCTACAACGTCGGATATTTGTTTTTTTCATTTCTCAGTATATTTCCTTATCCAGAAAGATTTTTTAAACACCGTGGCTAGAACTTCTGGTATGCCCTAAATATAATTAGTCATCTTATTTTCCAAAAACGAAATTCATAGAAAAATTATGCATAGAGATGGACAGCTCCGACTTCGAAGCAGCCACTCCACAGAGCTAGCTCCGCTTCCGGAGTAGAGTTAGAGCGGAGCAGTTAAAGGCCGAAGTTGCTCATCTCTGATCATGTGTGTTCTTGTTACATCTGCATCTGTTAAATGTGCGTTTTCTCAACATGGTCTTTGAAGGAGATGGTATCGTTTAAAATTTTCATAAGCTGATATTTGCATTTTAACATTTTTAAAGTGTAATAAGATATGCAAATAAATAATTTTTACTTGTAAACAACTTTAAATTTAAGTTTTTTGTTTATTAAAAAATAATGTTTTGTTTTTGTGCATAGAAAATAGATATCGTGTAATGAAAAAATTATTGTTAACATTCTTTGAAATTGGCAAAAATAATTTGACTTACCTAATCGTGCAGCAAACGACTAATCTCGTCTGGTACAATTAAATCATTTTTATCAATAATGAAATCATATGGCTTTTCTTTAGATTAAAATATGAAAAGATATAATGTACTAAGTAGTGAAATCTAATTCAATATATTGGTATTCAATTATATTGTTGTTTTTTAATGCAAAGCCATATATTGAACATTTTCCACGAATCGCTCAGATATCTCTGATTTATGATATAAGTTAGTCATTTGTGTGAGTTCAGTATAAAATCCGTTCATTTGCCAGTAGGTCAGCATTTACCGGTTCTATCTTTGACGCATTTCTTTACCTACACTACGAAGAAGTGTACATTAACTTTAATGTAGAAATTTTTGCATTGACCAAATCTATCGATAATATTAACCTTCTAGTCATCGCTGATCAAGAACTTGTTGACAAGAAAACAGTTTGTTTTATGATTGGAACATTTCATGATGGTGTAATATTGCTGACACTTTCGAGACTGTAAGTGTTGTCTATCATATTCTTACTTCCATTAACTTGTGTCGTATTAGAATAGATAAATACATTTAATATGTGTTGAAGGCTAAACAATAGACTTCAACACATATTAAAAGCTGTTAGCACAATCTCTACAGGATTGAAATATGAAACAAAATGTAGCTAATCATCGGAATATTGTTTTATTCTATCTAATACAATATCGAATTTGTTCATTTATTATAACGAAACGTTATTTATATACGATCAGTGATTGTATATTAATAACATCTGTCACAGTCTGTAATGAAGAAGAGACGTTGCTAAGGATGTCTATGGAGGGTCTTAATTTCTATCCTTTACTTCAACACTTCTTTTAGATCGTATTTCACAGAAACTATAACTTAAAGACTTCAAGACTGAAGTTCCTGGTGTTTTCCTCACGATATATGTTGAAGTGTGCTATTTTTCTTTCAGCTATTTCTTCTATACAAAGACCTTCTAGATTGATTAAACGAATGAAATAGTCAATAGAGTTCAATGAAATTATTTTACACAGCCAAAAGTGTTAACTCATGTAATCCAAACCAGATCAATCGATATAATGTGCGCTATACTGACAATTTTCTTGAAACTATTGTATGATGATGCAGTGTGTCAAAACTGATGAATATTTTGTAAGTCAATAAAACTTGACAGACTTGAGTCGATTTTGATGCTCTCACACAATGTCGATGCATCGGAACCACAGAGCCCAAATCAGTGTCAGTTCTAAGATAAATTTTTTATTATAGATGCAGTGCTGCAAAACTTTTCATTAGTAAAATACAAGTAACGCTCGTCAGTGTGACTCGCTTGATCCTCAACTGAATATTCAGTTCCTTTAGTGTTATGGATGATAGAACGACATTACCTTTTGTATGTACGCTCTACGTCTTCTTATAAACAAAATAATGAGATGAAAATCACCAAAATATCGCAATCTTTTTATTTCTTATCAATTGTAGAATTCTTAATATAGATCTTCTTCGACCACTGTGTTTCATATGTTTAAATGTATCTTACTTTCTACCTTTCTTTGTTTGCTATTGTCAAGTCCTATTCAATAAACTAGAAAGCGAAGAATACAGTATTTGCCTACTATTTCTGATAACAGGTAGAAGTAGAAGTTGTAATTTCTCAAAAGAGATACTTTTAAAATAAACCTTCGCAGCTATTAAAAGATGCATACACATTTAAAATATGGCGCTTTTACAGCATTATCATAGCTATTTTATCTAGTTAGCTAATTAAAATTTGATATTTTTAAAACAAAATCGTTGCAATTCAAAGGTCATTGATCACTTTTTAAATAACATGCATAGCTGCTAAATGATGATTTAAGAGATGTTTCGTGAGGGGATCGAGAAACCAAGGCACTGGGTAAAAAATTTTTTTTTTGGTTTTGTTTTTACTTATTCAATATATTAATGTCTAAGACCGCCAACCCCAGAAAGTTAGCCACTACAGACTTTTAGCATTATCATACATTTTTCGGATAAAACAAGAAAATATACTCCATCAGAGATGTGCTAGGTTGTAGTTCAATGGATTATTAGAATTTTTCATAGTATATACCAGAAGATAGAAGATTAAAAACTGAATAAAATGAGATGATGTAAGCCATTTTTTGACTCAAGGGTAAACTTTTTTTTCATTTTGTAGAGAAAGAAAAGCTACACAATATGTATAAAATTCACAGCTTGGTCTCCTGTCTCTCTGAGATATAGCACGAGATATATTGTTTTATTTGGATTGATCAAAATGGCCCCCTTGACTCATGTTGGCTTTAGAAAACTTGAATTGCTAGATATTAAATTATATCAATATAACTTATTTTATTCAGTTTTTAATCTTCTATCTTCTGATATATACCATAAAAAATTCTAATAATCTGTTGAAATATAACCTAGCACATCTCTGATAGAGTATATTTTCTTGTTTTTTCAAAAAAATGTATGATAATGCTAAAAGTCAGTATTGGCTAACTTTCTGAGGGAAGAGTATTAGAAGCTAAAATTTTGGGGTTGGCGGTCTTAGACATTGATGCATTGAATGAGCAAAAACAAAGGATTTTTATTCAGTGCCTTTGTTCCTCGATCTCTTCACGAAACATCTCTTAAAAGAGGTAACGAGCTGTGACAATAGTCTGTTAAATATTCGTTTTTATAATAGTCGAACGTTTATTTCAACTCACCTGTACAGGTGTGTAGAAAGACGAAGGTGAACTGACTGACGGACAGAACAATATCTTTTGTTTTTAATAAGTTGACGAGCAGTGATGATATGTTTTTCGATATTCGTTTTCATAAGGACGAAACATAGTTTTTAATTCACATGTGCAGCTACGTGTGTAGGTTCACCCGAACGGTTGGTTTGTGAATTTATAGAACAAGGACTATAACTCGCTGATTTATGCAATCAGGCGTGACGCATGCTTCTCATGTGTTCTCTTTTGTAATCGTCTTTTGTATCCTACAAATCGACTTAATAAACACATTTTTGTATTTTTACAGTTTCTTGAATATGAATCTAGCGGTGAGTGTAGTATTTTTTCTATAATCGTTTGTAGAATCGCCGATTATATATTCGTGATATCTTTTCTACACACATTTAAGCAGAAAATCACCATGACTTTTTTGCATATCAATACAAATATCCTATAATACTGTAAACTAAATATCAACGCATTACAGCTGTCGCTCCATGTCTGAGAAGATATTCCCCGTTTCTACTCATTTAAAAAAAACTGATACAAAAAATCGATTCTAATTCGATTATATTCAAAAATATCGAAACTTCATCACCTATTCTGTTTTTTTTTT